GCACAGTGAGGAAATACTGGACCAAATCAAGACTGAAAACCAGATGGGCAAACTCCAACTCCATGTCTGGTGTCAAAACACTCTTCAGATCTCCAACTCCTTTCAACTTTGTTGACTGCAATACAGTTCTTCCTCTTGGGCTGGTTCCACTTGCTGTTAGCAGCTTTTCTCAGCAGGTATCCTACAGTTCTGGCATCTCCAACACTTTGGGGCAGTCAAGACAATCCAGGTTCCAACTTCACACCTTTTACACAATGGCCTCTCGGGGCCTCCATTCACAACACCCCTGACACATGCCTGGCCTCGGCAGCTTTCCTTAGTTAAGAGGGCAAATTCCATAAGCCATTTCTTCTATCCTTAACTCTAAAGCCAGAACCACATGGCCAAAGCTGCCAAGTTCTGCTGTTTGCTGGGGCTGGAACATAGCCCCCTCATTCAATTACATCCTCACCAGCTTTCTGTGTTTGATTGTTACCTTCACTGCCTAAGCTTGACTGTCCTTGAACTTGCTCTGCAGACCAGGCTGGCCTCAAACTCAGAGATCCACCAGGATCTGCCTTTCCAGTGCTGGGATTAAAGGTGTACACCATAACACCCAGCTCTAAGCTTCTCATTGGTTCCTTTTCACAAGCTAGAAAGTTAGTTGGATGGGATCTTGCCCTGAGGTCAACCACTCTCTTAATCCCATTTCTTAATCTGTTTATCTCCTTGAACACAGGATTTAGCTCTATTCCTCTTCCTGGTGCACCTTTATTCAATTTGCACATTTTGTATTTTTACTTGCTGAGCTTGCTCCTTTTCATTATAAATCTTTATTAGAGTTACCACTAGTAACCATACAAGAGTCTATAGAAGGCTGTTTGAGATTTCCTCTGCCAATGGAACGAATCCAAACCTCGTTACTTTAGCCTCAGGCAGACTCTTTGGCGAGGGCAAAAAGCAGCCACATTCTTTTTTTGTGTTGCCAAAGTAGCATAAGTACAATCTCTAGGCAACATACTAGAATTCTTCTCCTCTGATACCTCTTGGGCCAGCCCCCAACAGGTCAAGTAACTCTTAAAGAGCACCACTGTCTTCCATGTTGCTACCAGTATGGCCCATAAAGTAGTGCTTAAAGCATTCCACTGTTTGCCTATCCCAAATTCCTCCAAACAAAATCACGGTCAGGCCTATCACAGCAATACCCCAGTCTCTGGTGTCAATTTCTATCTTAGGGTTTCTATCGCTGTGAAGAGACACCATAACTAAGCAACTCTTAAACATCATGGCGGGGAGCATCTTGTAGCACAAACTCTAATTGGTCTTAATAAAAACCTGGAGTCAGATATTAGGAGTAAAAGCTGAGAGATCAAAGAAGACATTTAGTCAGCCACTAGAGAGACCTTTTACCTCTAGTGAACCCTCAGACTACAGGGCTGATCCTGTCTCTATGAATCCTCAGACAGAACCCTCAGATTGCATCTGTCTCCACCACACCTCAGACTGCACTGAGCTCCGGCCTCCTCCTACCTAATATTGCTCTCTCCACCCAGCCATATCCCTTCCAGTCTCCACCTCCCTAGTGCTAGATTAAGAGTGTCTGACTCCCAAGTACTAGGATTAAAGGTGTGAGCCACCACCTTTAATGTGTGTTCCAGGATGGCCTTGAACTCACAGAGATCCAACTGCCTCCCCCACACCCAGTGCTTAGGTTAAAGGCGTGTGCCACCACTGCCTGGCCGCTATGGCTAACTAGCAGTTTTGTTCTACACTCTGATTTTCAGGCAAACTTTGTTAGATTACAAAGAAAATATAACTACAACATCTTGATTAGAAGGCAACAGGAAATGGTCTAAGACACTTGGCATGGCTTGAGCATATATGATACCTGAAGCCCACCCCCATAGTGACACACTGAGTCCAACAAGGCAATACCTACAACAACAAAGCCACACCTTCTAATAGTGCCACTCCTTATGAGCCTATGGGGACCAATTACATTCAAACTACCACAGGTAATGTGTATTGTATCATTGTATGTTGGAAGAATGTAATTTGTTCTTTGATTTTATAGGGGTTACAGTTAAGAGATTGTCCTCAGTCTCAGAAGAGACTTTAAACTTTTAAACAGCGTTGAGACTAAAAGATGATGGGAAGTGCATTCATACTATGGCCAGGAGTCTATGGTGGCCAGGAAGTAAATATGGTGGTTTAAATGTCTCCCATGGACTCTGTCATTTGAATATGTGATCCCCATTTGGTGGCACTATTTGGGGAAGCGTAAGGTAGTGGCCTTTGGAAGGAGGTATGCCACTGTGGGAGAGTTTTGAGAGTTAAAAGACACCATTTTAAGTTTGCTCTCTCTGCTTCATGTTTTAAATGTGAGCCCTCTGATCTACTCCAGCAGTCATGCCTGATAGCTACTGTCTCTACTTCTTCATGTAGTCTCATCCTCTGGAACCCCAAGTTCAAATAAACTCTTTCGACATAAAAAATAAAGAGTAAATAAAAGCTCTCTTTTACATGCCTTGTTCTGTCTCACCATCTTATAATGCAACAAGAGGCCTTCACCAATCATATCCTTGAACTTCCCAACCTCCAATCCTGGTCAAATAAATATCTGTTATAGCTTAGATTTCCCATATGTTGAAAGGCTCCCCTCTCCATCCAAGATGCTAGTGGCATATCATGAAACCTATACAAAATGAAGCACAACAGAAGGGAGACACATGGTTGAAGATATGCCTTTGAAGGAGATATGGGGAATCCAGCCCACCCCCTTATTCCTTAGATGACACAAGGTAGTCACTTCATTGTTGCAGGGCATTTGACAACACTGTGAACACCAAGATTGCGTGGTGTGGCTCAGTCCTAGCACATACCTTTAATACAAGAGCCTTCTGCTTGATTATTATGAACAGGATTAAATGAAGTCAACCATAGGTCAAGAGGCAGAGCAAGCAACCAGCTGACAGAAAGTGAACATAGGATTATTAAGAAAAAAACAGAGAATAAGAAATGAGGATGAACAAGACACACACAGAAGTAGTAGGGAGGGACACTGAGTTGGCAGAGATTTTTGTTTGAAGCAGCATGGGAGAATGAGGCTTCTGGGACTGAGGAAAAGTTCAGCTGGGTGCTTTCTCTGCCTCTCTGAGCTAGCAGGCTTTCATCCCAGCATCTGGCTTCCAAGTCTTTATTGAAAAACTGAACAACTGAGATTCTGTTAAAAAACAACACTTCTTTTGCAATGTGCTCCTGACATGGATTTTAGATAGATAGATAGATAGATAGATAGATAGATAAAATTTAAAACATTGACATCCTAAATTAAAAACTTAAATTATGTGCAATGTTCTGTAAGATTCATGAAATGTAGACCAATGCAGTCATAATTCAGACACAAAATAAATGCAGAAAATGGAGTATGGCATATTAAAAGTTCCATTGCTATTTCATACTCTTAAGGTTCATTTAACGCATACACACAATATATAAGTGAATGCTGCATAAAAACAGCAGAAACAAAAAAATATACCAAGCCAAAGAAAGAAGTACAGCAACTTTCAATAAAAATAAAGTGGAAGACATATTGCCAGCTAAAAGATAATTTCAAATGAAAAAGTTTAAGTTGTAAAAGAGACAATAAAGGACTGTAGGCCTAACTTAATGGTAAGAAATTTGCCTACTATGTATAAGACCTAGTTTCAACATACCAAAAACCTGAGAAAAAATAAAGAACAGAGAGCAGAAAGGGGAGGAGGAAGGAAAAGAAGAAGGAAGGAGAAGGAGAAAGAGAGTATTTGATAATATTTTCCAAAATCAAGCAAGGCAGAAATACATGGACAGCACCTCACCTCTCATGTATTCAGAGTTATCTGGGAAAATTCTTGTAGAGTATTTTAGAAAGGCTGGGTCAAGACAATATTCACACAAAATATTCATACAGCCAATAAACATCTTAAACTTTAAAACTAATGAATGTAGGCAATAGAAAAGGAAATGAACAAAAACTTAGGTCCCTAAGGCATTACATAGTACTAACTGTAAATTCCAATATCAAGGATTGATATAGCCCATTCTCTTGGTCTTCCTTTTGGTTCTCCTTTATTCCTTTAGATAAAGCCAAGAGGTCTCAGTGGGCTTTGTAACCTCCCCAGAGATTTTTATCAGCTTGACCAAAAGACTATCTCAAATATATGTAAATTAAATAAAACAATATATTTGTTATTGCAAAAGGTTTCAAGACAAGTAGCCCAGAAGCAACACTCCAAATATGCTGCTGCCCCTCACCGCTATCCCCATAACGGCACTGTCATCTCTACCATGTCTTCTATATAAAACCGGAATTATAAAGCATGAATTCAGGTCAGGCAGGAGAAATATTTCTCAATTTTCCTGTACCAAAATACAAAACAGAAAGTGAGAGAGACAGACAACAAGACCAAGAAATAAAGACAGAAAGACAGAAGAGAGGGGACAGCAGGATGAATGATTTAAGAAAAAAAAAAAGTCATCTCCAGAGTTGACAAAAAAATAAATGAATAAAACCAGAAGTCCATTAGGCTTTAAGTATCCAAATCCCTAAAAATATTCATTCAATATGACCCAGAAATTCAGTCATAAATTGAATATATTCAGTTTCTTCTAGAAAAAATACTAGGTTAAATATATAATACACATATATAAGAATGTTCTCCACAGTAATGTTTACAATATTGCAAACTACTGCAACAGTATTAAATGCCCACCAGAATAAGGATGGTAAATTATACTACTATAACATGAAATATGATGCAAACATTTTAAAAATGAGTAGCTATATTTAGTAAGATAGAAATATGTTAATATAACAGTAAATAAATATAGATTATAAAAATGTTAATATAAAAGAGTCCTACTTTTAACATAAAAGTTTAGTGAGATAATTACAAAAACAACTTGCAATAAATATACATAAACATTAAGGCCATTCAAGAATTCATAAAGTTAAAACTCAGGTCAAAGAATGAAGTACTTACCACCAAGTCCCAGTTATTTTGTTCAAGCAATGTAATAGCTTCATCGATGTTTTCAATGCCGGTACATGCCTAAAAACCAAATACATATGCATTTTTTAGGATTTTAGAAATGAGGTCAGACTTAAAATATAAATGGTATAAAACATAATTTAAACTGCATATAATCTGAATGAAGTCAAGACATTAAGGGGCTCATACTTCTCAGTAGTTAATACACAAGAGTTTGAAAAGTCTCTCTTGCAAATATTAACAATTACAGGGATGGGAAGAGATGACCCAGTCAGAAAAGGTGCCAACCCTGACAACCTGAGCTCATACCTGGGACCCACATTATGGAAAGAGAATCAACTCTTGTAAGTTGTCCTCCAACTCCACATGTATGCCACAGCGTAAGAAAACGCAAACACAAACACACACACACACAAATGAACAAATAAATGCAGATTTTGACCAGGAATGGTGGCGCACGCCTTTAAACCTAGCATTTGGGAGGCAGAGGTAGGTGGATGTCTGTTGAGTTCTAGGCCAGCATGGCCTGAATAATGAGTTCCAAGCCAGCCAAGACTACCCAGTGAGACCTTGTCTCCCTCCCCAACTACGAAAACAGAAACACCCTGTGAAAGCCAAGAACAGCACATGAAGCAAACACAGAAACACCTGCTGGAGATGGACCTTTTTATTTTCCCCTAAGACTTAAAAACAAAATGACAGAATTTAACTATCCAAACACAGGACTGAACACTCAAGTAACACAATTCTCAAATTATGAAAATGAAGCCATAAAAAACTTTCAAAATCAATCTGTTACCATCAGCATAAACTTAGACATTGGGAATTAACTAGCACGTTATTTATCATAAGCCAATTTACACTATCCTTTGATCCTCTCAATAATCACAGGAATGAAACATATGTCCATTAGAATTCTTACACATAAAAAGTCAATATGAGCCAAGTAACTTACGTTTCTTTCAATCCTTTTACCAACCTTTTGAAGTAGCTATTATGCCCATTTTAACAAAGAGAAATCAATGTTTCAAAGATACTGTCCTGGTTTCATTTTTGTTGGTGTGATAAAATACTCAGACAAAAGCGACTTAGGGGAAAGTTTATTTTTAATCACAATCCTAAATCTCAGTCCATCACTTCAGGAAAAGTCATGGGAGAAGACACTTAAGACATACTGTAGTTTGATTTTATTGTTGAGATAAAGACATCATGACCAAAAGTAACTTAAAGAAGGAAATGGTTTATTTTGCCTGCATGAAGGGAAGTCAGAAACTCAAGCAGGCAAGGTCCCTGGAGGCAGGAACTAAAGCAGAGGCCATGGAGAACACTGCTTACTGGTTTGCTCACAGAGCTTGCTCAGCCTTTCTTATACAAACCAAGACTGTCCAGAGGTGGCACTACCACCAGCAGGTTGGGTCCTCCTCTATCACCTATCTATCAGTCAAGAAAATGCCCCCATGGACTTGTCTGAGGGGATCTGATGGAGACCCTCTCTCAGTTGAAGTTCCTCTTCCCATTTGACACTAACTTGTGCCAAGGTGACAGAAAAGTAACCAGGATCACACAGCAGCTCACACATCACATCACAGTCGAGAGCAGAGAAAAGGAAGGCGTGCATGCTTAGTACTCAGCCAGTTTTCTTTATCTTATACAGGCCAGGGTCAAAAAATATGAACATTTAATATGAAAATGTGGTGAGTTCTTAATTTTATGTAACCTCAACATCCATTTTGAATAGAGGCTCAGAAGAGGACATAATTTAAAACACCACACCATGCTCAAATGGCTGAAGCTAGTGAACACAAGACAAAAGAGATGTGATACTAAACCCAATTCTAACTTTCCACAAATAAGGACCATAGAACTCTCTAATTGCTCTCACTAAGGATTATTTTCCATTGACACTGAGTTTGAATATATGACTTAATCTCTTTCCTATGAAAACTATAATAAGCACGTGGTGGTATAGTAACTCTGACCATGTCTTCAAAAGCATGAGTTTCTACTTATACTTCTATATGTCATCATTGTCCTAAGATTGGGGGGGGGGGGGGCGCATCTCTAAGATCCTATGAGAAGATGTCAAAATAAATACACATGAATCACACATGAAACCAGATATTGAGGAGTCAATCCCAAATACATATGCAACTTCAAAACAAAGACTCTAAACAGGATCAACCACCACAGAGAAATGCCTCAATATTCCTATGGTATCTGGCCACTGAGTTACAGAGCTGTCACAGAGAAATAGCATTAGTTTTGAGTGAAATATTGTATCTGAGACAACTCATATAATGCTAGTAGTAATAAGTGAAACCACATTACCTAGCCATACCACTTCTAGGTATACACCTGAAGGACTATATAAGGCAACTGATGAATGGTTAAACAAACTGTGGTGTAGATATATAATGATGGTGTGTGTATATACAATGGAGTTTGCATCAACCATAAATGATGAAATTATGTTATTTGCTGGAGAATGGATCTAACTAGAGATTATAACAATAAGTGAACTAAATTTGACACAGAAAGACAACTGCCATATTTTTATCTCATTTTTGCTTCAAAAATTCTTTATAGATAGATAAAGTCATATAAATATCTTTATATAAATATCTATATATATTATATATATGACATGAAAGTAGAAGGGAACAAGGGGAAGAGAGGAGATTAGCAAGGTGGAGAAAGGAAAGAAGGATTAAGGGTAGGGAATGAGAGGGGGCAAATATGGCCAAAGTATATAATGTACTTTTAAAAAATATATTTTCAATAAAAGTTTTCACTATAAAACTGTCTATAAAGTATAACACTATGAATAATGACTATATAACAATTAAAATTATTTAAATAAATAAAATAAAAATACTATAGCACAAAGTAGTTACCTAAGAAATGGCCTGATCATATATATACATACACACATAAATACATATGGGTACACATACATGCTTACACACATACATACACAAACTAACTAACCACATGACAGTGTTTTGGTCAATGACAGACCATCTATATGACAGTGCTATACCATACGTGTAGAATGTTAAATCAAGTCAGTTTGTTCATACAACATGATCTCTCATGATCCTTACCTCTAGGTTCAAACCCAAAACATTACATATTTTCTACCAGACTTATATCCCTGGTCCACTTTTTCTTCCTTCTCGAACAAGATATACAGTACTATTCAATGACCATTTATACTAAGTCTATAATTTATAGGTCTATTTATAATTATAGGTCTATTTATATTGATTGGGATTTTCTTGTGATTATGGGTTAATACTTTCCTGATTCTTTATATGCTTGATAACTTGTGATTATATCCAAATATTTTGACCTTTTTCATATTTTGAATGCTGAATATCTCTAAATATTCTTGAGCCTTGTTCAGGAGCACCTGAAAGCTTTTGAAGCTTCCTTAAAAGTTCTGCTTGAGCCAGGCAGTGGTGGCGCACATCTTTAATCCCAGCCCTTAGAAGGTGAAGGCAAGCAGATCTCTGTGAGTTCGAGGCCAACCTAGGCTACAAGAGCTAGTTTCAGGACAGGCACCAAAGCTGAGAGAAACCCTGGCTTGGAAGGGGAAAAAAAAAGTTCTGCTTTCCTTTTGAGCACTCTGGGATACCTCAGTATATAAAAATATACATTGAATATATATTTAAGATGTTCCACTTTCTATGAAAGCCTCATGCACCTGGCAGAAACAAATATGGGCTACAGAGATACTTTATTTCATTAACATTTTCCATTTTGTTTTATTTTATTCTTTCTTATGAATAGTTCCAGCACTTGTCAAAGAATTTTAAGTATCTGAGAAATGCATGGAAAAACAAGTTTCAGGGCAAATGATTCATTTCTGGAAAAGTTATAATGTATTTCGGCATAATAAAGCCTCTAAAAAAATACTCTGGGAAAGTCTTCCAACTTTTTAAACCCAAAAGGCTCTAAACTAACTTAATGAAAACTAAAGACTTCATTTCACATTTAAAAAAGAATTGCATCTCACAATCTTGAGAAATACCAGTTTCTTTTTCACTTTGATTACTAATTTTGCTTTCTAAGTTAATGTCATCTTTACGTTAAAGTATGAAATTAAAGGGATTTGTTTCTTTTTACTTTGTAATTCTCTGAGTTAAATGGTAATCATAGATGGATGTGTGGCAGGTAAATAGAGGATATTTTTATTTTATCATAGTAGAAAAAAATATATGCTGTAGGATAATGCTCTTGCACACTGTAAAAAATTGTCCTTGTATTGGTTTAATAAAACACTGATTGGCCAAAAGCAAGGCAGGAAGTATAGAAGGGGCAACCAAACTAGGAAAAATTCTGTGAAGAGGAAAGGTAGAGTCAGTCACCAGTCAGATGCAGAGGAAACAAGATGAGAATGCCTCACTGAGAAAAGGTACCAAGGTACATGGCTAAATACAGACAAGAATTATGGGTTAATTTCAGTTGTAAGAGCTAGTTAATAATAAGCTTGAGCTAGTAGGCCAGATTATAATTAATATAAGCATCTGTGTGTTTCTTTGGGACTGAATGGCTGTGGGACAGAAACTTCTGTCTACAAATAAAGATTTGGAATGTGTGACAGACAACCTAAGCAAATTATTCTATTTCTTTGAGTATTACCTACAGTGAAAAATAATATCTTCCTTATGAGTACTGTGCTGGCTAGTTTTATGTCAATTTTACACAAGCTAGATTTGATCTAGAAGAAGAAACCTCAGTTGACAAAACGGTACCACCATAATGAGCTGTGAGCAAGTCTGTGGACATTTTCTTAATTGATAGATTGATATGGAAGGGCCCAGCTCACTATGGGCAGTACCACCCCTGGGCTGACGGTCCTGGTTTCTACAAGAAAGCATACTGAGAAGCTGGAGAGATGGCTCAGTGGTTAAGGGCACTGACTACTCTTCTAGAAGTCATGAGTTCAATTTCCAGCAACCACATGGTGGCTCACGACCATCTGTAATGAGATCTGACGCCCTCTTCTGGTATGTGGGCATACATGGTGGCAGAATGTTGTATATATAATAAATAAA